AGTAACCATGTATTCATTTCTGGAAATGATCAACGCCCTTAAGCTTTCAGGTAAAAGGTTAAAAGTCAGTCACTTGGTTTTGCTGCAGACACTGTATGAATACTCGTTTTAATTATTAATAATGACAAAGTAAACTAAGTATCATATAAAAGAAGCTCCCAACCACGCAGGTAAAAATGAAACTTGTAAAATAAACATCTGTTTAAAAGATACCAGCAGGAGTGCATTACACGATTTGACCTCAAAAATCTTCAAGCTCCCTTGCCAGAAGCAGCAATCTTTACCCTGTTCCTTGCCTTAGTAGTTGCTCTTTTCCAGCTGCAGTTTACACCTAGACATATAATTATTTTATTAGCAACACATAATTACACTGACATTAAAGCCAGTTAATGCTCCATGGAGTGCAATTACCCCGTGTTTTGAAGTTGATGCTTTCGTGCATTTTTCATACCCTAGCATTTTTTGACAGTACTTTCAAACTCTTTGAAGATCGCTGCTTGCAGTTCGAGTTTGAGAAACTTTAAGAGATCCTTCAATCCCAAATTCATGACAGAATGTACATTGCTATTCTTCTAAAGTGCAATCTGGTAATTCCTGAATCTGGTAACATTATTCCATGATTTCTCAGGACACAGTGTTTTTTTTTTTTTTTTTTTTTTTTTTTTTTTTTTTTTTTTTTTTTTTCTACATTTCTTGTCTTGCAATTTTTCTAGTTCTTATGTTATTACCTTATAAGTTAAGGATACCCCATTTTCTAAGAAACACATGAAATTGAAAGTAACTTCCAGCAAGTACATTCTAAGATTTCTTTCAGCAATCAAGCTTCAATCCCTCAACACATGTTAAATGTCATTAAACAACGAATTTCTGTTTCATGACAGAGTAACTAGGATGCTCATGATCAGGATTTGCTATTTGATAGGGAGGTAAGTCTGATTTAGTATCAGGCAGGTTTTTTTGTTTTTTTTAAAGCAATGGCAAATAACCATATGAATCAGTTCTATATAAGCAACTCACAGAAAATAAATACAATAAATACGAAGTTTTTCTTAAGTTCCTTCTTGCTCTCCATCCTATTTCTAAGTTGATAAAAGCTTATCAGCATGTAAGCTCTTCAGAAACAAGGCAGCGTTCAGATTCACTCCAACACACATGTACCTTACCTGTAAGAGCAGTGATGGGACTTCAGAGACGCTTCTTCCGTATTTGCATAATTAAAGCTGCTCATAAGGGGTTTGCCTTCTTTGTTGGGAATGAGATTACTGTTTCACAGAACCACAAAGTATTTAATAGTGCCTCAGCCCACTTTTCACAAGTGTCCCATTTACCCCGTATTACGTAAGCCAAGGCAATTCCTTGTATATTATTGCATTTCTTCCCAATAAAACAAAACAAAAAGCCACACAAACAAAAACAAACAAACAAAAAAAACCCATGTGATCTCATTGCAGGAAAGAAATATAATTTCAGCATGTGGAAAGTTGCATCATGTGAAGCAAGAAACCTACCTTGCACTTACTGGCCGCTAGCCACCTCCCGCGCTGTGATGCAATAAGATGGGGTCATTCGCCAAAACACCAACCCCTCACACCCACATTTAGCCAGGCATTCACATCTCCCGAAGTCACCCAAGCACATGAGGCACAGCTCTGCTTCAGAAAAAGCAAACAGTCTTATTCTGTTCCTTCCTAATTCAGATCTGTGGAGGTATTCAAGGAAATTCAAGGTATAAAGGAAAACCCACTACACATGGGTGCCCAGCTTGAAGAGAAAAAAACAGCAGCCTGGAAAAAAGAACAGGGCTCTGATTTTGCTTATATGTCTATATGCATGTACTAATTTTAATTTCTCTTGGCTGCAAGTGTACAAATAAGACTATAGCAATAGAAGTAGGAAGTAGTTATCTTAATACAAAATGGCATCTTTCAAGTCAAAGGAAACAAGCACAGCACAGTGTCAAATATATGACTCTGCAAGTCATCTGGGGAGTAAGGAAAAAAAAAAAGGCAGCACAAGTGTTGGTTTCCTTAAATTCTAAATACTTGGTGACCACCTCCCAGAGCTATTTCTGCAGGTAGTAAATAAGCTGCCGCACTACTTTGTTCTTGGGTAGTTGAGATATTCAAAGTAAAGCAGAAAGGCAAATAACTGAAACCTGCTAGGATGAGCACCCAAGCCTCAGGCTGCTCCGAAATCCTCTGTGTCTGCTACGCTCTCATTGCGGCTGCGTCCCAGCTGCCCATTTTTCCCCTTTCAGAACAGTTTGTGTTGTTTTTTCTGGTTAGTTTTCCTTTTAACCTGTTGAAACGAAGGTCCTAATGTGCTAGGAGGGCAGCACACGATGCGGCCCGGGGCAGCATAGGACAGCATAGGAACAAATGGCAACGGGGGATCAGCACTTCTGCATACCTGGCCCAGGAAGGGCTGAGCAAGGAACGGGCTGGTTTTGCACCAGTTTTGTTCTCCTCTTCAGACCTGCATTGTGGAAATGTTCCCTGAAAACCAGTAGCATCACCCACCTGCTTGGGATGATGTACTTGTCTGCACCGCTGAGGGGAAAACTGAAAAACAACTGTAGTATCAGACCATACTTGGAATCCACCAGAAGGCAACTTAGAACAAAACGGAGTTCTACAGTTTAGGTGGATCAGAACCTTCTAGAGGTAATAAAGTTACATTAGTAAAGCAGTATCTTCCTCTTCATAATACTGAATTGAGTTTACATCCAAAACACAGATATTTCATTTCTGAATAGTCTTATTATGAAAACTTTTGCGTTTGCTTTTTAAGAAATACAGATATAACTCGTAGAGGGAAAAAACTTCTACTTACCAAAAGTGTTCATATAAAAAAAAAAAAAAGGTTTTAAAAAGGTATTAGAGTGTGGCTGATTATGTATTCAGTCTTTCAGTTAACGCTGATTTGACCTAAGGGAAATAGATTTATGTTCCCAAAACACAGTAATCTTTGATTTCAAATTCATATCATGCTTATGGCATATACCAAGAGCAAAGAACTTGTGTGTCTCAGTATGACCCCACAGCTGTACACGAACACACACACACAGGGTAAACAATATTCATTTAAATAAAAAAAATATACTTCCAACGACAGAGTTTCTCTATTAAATTCATGTTTATTGCTTAAGTTTTATCACAGTGGAGATTAAATTATGCTTAATCATCCGGTCAGTGCTTTTGTACCTTCTCCAGTGCCAAAAACATTTAAACCAAGACATTCATACACTCGAGGTCTTATTACCATCCCACCATTCATCGCCTCCGTGTGCTCCTTTAGTTGCCACAAACTGGTAAGATTGTAAAAAGGTATAGCTAATAGGCTTATTTATAATACCATTTTCTTCAAGTATTCAGAAAGCAGTACAAGGGAGCTGTACTGTACATTAGAAATATATCTGCACTGTTATTTATTGCTACAGGACCGAGGCTCCTGATGGAGTGATAATGAAATATCGCATCACCGTGTATGAAGATGATCTCAGCGCTCTGCAGTCATCGCAACGCTTCCCATGTTAGTGAACAAACACGAGATAAACGGGGTTTCTTTTCCTCCCCCTTCCGGGCATGGGATTCCCAACAACAAAAATAAATAAAAAGCAGACACTCACAACATGTGTAGTGCAAATTCCAAGTAAACAGGATGACACGGAGCTGAGCGCGCGGCGCCGGCTGCGCGGGGCGGCGCTGCCCCCGGGCCCCGAGGGCTGCAGCGGCTGCGAGATGCGGGCGCAGGGGAGCGGCCCCGCTCCCCTCCTGCCCTGCCCGGGCG